CGCCCTGCTGTTTCCCTGTAAATCCACGAGTTACCCGCCACTCTGCCTGTACTCCTTTACTTCCTCACCCAGCATTAGCTCTGTTTTTCCGTCCGGCTCGCCAGTGTCGGTCTAAATGCTCGCAGTTTCAGGCATCACCCTTCCTCTGTTTCAGACGCATTTTCGACTGCCTTCAGGCTGTGCTGCTCACTTGAGGTGTTCGTTGATTCAGCTGCAGGTTGTTCGATGCTCTTCAGGCAAAGAAACAGAATGTCGGGTAAAGATGTGTACCTGGAGGAAGTTAGTATATGGCCCTGGCTGTAAAGCTCTTTATTTCAGTAAGTTACGCCTCTGTTTGGGGCTATGAGATGGACGTTAATCTCCCCCGTAGCTTTAAATACGGAGGCAGCCGCAGGTGTGAAGCTGAGGCTTGTTCTCCTGTCTATATCTGAGAAAGCTGCTTGATCTTAGGACAGCCGGGAATCAAGACGATGGATGAAAGGGTTTCTACACGGAATCGTTAATGACTAACAGTGGGTGTAATTAGCCACCTGAGACACGGGCAGTGACACACACAATAAGCATTGTGATTGTTTCCTCAGTTGTTTAGCATGTTTGTTTAGGGCTGGTGAGTGTATAGATGGACTGGGGTGGGGTTTGGTGTATGTGTGGTAATCATCATTATGTTTATTATTGTCCTTATTACCAACAGCAACAACAACAACACATCAATAAATATTATTATTCAGTAGTAATAATAATAATAATAGTAATAATAACAATAAAAAATAATAATTAAAAAAAATGTATTGTTAGCAAGAGTCTGCAGTCTTTTTCTTACCATGGCTGCTAGTTGCTAAGGACACCTAAAATGAATCCCAGGTTACTCCGGTTGGGTTAAGGGGTTAAACCTGGTCAGCCGGGTAGGTTTGGGAGTTACACTCCCATCGTATGTGTGTGAGTGTGAGTTTTATGGGTTTCGAAATAGCCAGAGTGAAAGTAAGCAGGCACACAGAGTGAGGCTGATTCATCACGCCCGTGTGACGTCAAATCACTGTCCGTGACCTTTGAGGATGTGTGTTGTTTACTGTCAGGTAGCTGATACTTTTTAAATCTGGTTAGTGGGCATGAAAACGTGTGAATTTTATCCATTTACACAGATGGGTATTTTACTGGCCTAGTTCAGGCATACTGGAGAGTACAGGAGCAACTGAACCTGCAACCTTCAGTTTACGACTCTTAATAGCCTTGTCTTAATATGCCCTTTAATAACCCCACCACCTGCTGGACCTTAACAGGTTTACCAGTAATCTCTGAGGTTGAATGACCACCTGGGGCCATATAGCCTTCTGCCTAATGAAATGAGTGGGATGACCATGTGATCTGTCATCCTGTAATCCCATTTGCTGCCCTGAATTTCACTGAGCAGTACAGTTGGCTGTGATTGGCTAGCCCTCTTCTGGGTGCTTTTAATTTAATTTGTTAGCCTGTGCTCGCTGCCCCCTTGCTTTGGCCTGCTATAGGGAAGCCGTAGCCGGGCGACCCACCTTATAACGCTGCCGGTAGTTCACTGGAGCTTGTCACACACTGCCTGCATTATTTATGGACTTAGCCAGGAAAGGAAGTCGATTTAAAATCAGTGTGTGTTTGAATAGAGGCCGGGAAGAGCAGCGGAAAGCCAGCTTGGAGAAGAGCCTTTGTTTAATAAACTGGGGAGGGTGAGAGAGAACAGCCCTCCGTTTTCCTGCCTGTGTATTTGAGAGTGAGGTACACAGATTTAATTAAAAGTAGGATTTGGCCCACGGTGTGGGTAGGGGGAGGGAGTCAACCCGGCCCTCAGGCATGACGAGATGATCCTGGAACTCCAGCATCCTGGTCGTTATGCTGCCGAAATCGTCCCCCCAGCTTTTCTGCATGTGGGCTGCTTTGGCGGTGGCCAGGGACCCAGTGGCAGGGTTTGAGTCCTTCCAGCTGACGCCTAAATAACAGACTCTGTGATAAGACGGGCAGATGCTGAGAAGGACTCTGCTAGCTCGTCTCCTGGCCTCTGTGTGTTTGTGTCAAATCAATGTGCCGCCCACCACAAAAGCACAAATTATCCTTTGAATCGCTTAGCCGGTTCATGGTCCTGCTTCAGCTTTCAGCAGCCCTTGACATGCTCGGTGTGGATCCTCGTCCTTCTACACATCTGGGCCTGCTTGTATCTGTGCATCCGGCTCCCGGCACCCTGGAAAGGACATCATCTCCAAAATTAACTGTGTGTACATTCCCATTTGCTCATATGAGAGGAATGAATTAGCTTCCCCTGCTTCTCTTCTGTGTTGTGTAACAGGGGTCATATGGAAGTTGGGTGTTTGCTCTCTCGCTTCGCTGGGCAGCTGCCTTTGTGTGGCTGTTTTCATTGCTAAAGCAGTAATATATGCTACCCATGATGCATCTTGCTATACATGCTGCAGGGCTTCGAAATTTTGATTAAGTTCCTGTGCTTAATGATGCCACAACTGAGCCTCTTAGGATTTACCCTTCTGGTTACGAGTCACTGCTGGCTTGGAAATCTACCAGCCTGTTGTTTTTTTTTTTTTTTTGTCCATCGGCTAAAATACATGTGCTTTTGGTAAATTTTATAGTCACAAGGAATTGTTTGATATTGTAGTTTCCGGAATATAAATATATAAATGTACAGTATGGAAATCCATGGGCTGCCCTGCGCACGTGCTCAGTGGGCCGGAGTTCAGGGAGTCGTGCTCTGCTATGCAAATGGAACAGAAACTGTTAGACAAGGGTAGATTAGGTCCAGGAAGAGATTATGTGGGTGTAATTATAGATGGCTGATTATCCCTTTACTTCGTCTTCTCTGCTTCTAACAGTAGGCTATTTATTGCGGAACGAAGACGGCGTCTGTCATGGAAACGGGTGACCCCCCCCCACCCCCCCGCCTCGCCATTCCTGTTGGCTTCTCACCCCCTGCACAGTTCGTCCGCATATTTCACACAGGCTTCCTGAAGGTCCACTATTCTCAAATAGTGGCCTTTTGTTCAGATGACGGCTTTTCGGCCTGACCTGATGAGAGCATCGCTCAGTTTGAACTGGCTACGATGTGCGCAGCCCGGGGAGGCCGCCTGCGCAGCCCGGGGAGGCCGCCTGCGCAGCCCGGGGAGGCCGCCTGCGCAGCCCGGGGAGGCCACCTGCGCAGCCCGGGGAGGCCGCCTGGGGGCTGCTGGCTTCCTGTCACTAACTCGCTCGTCTCCAGTGTGCCCTAGGCTGTGTACTTTCCGGCCGTCGTCACTATGGAACGGAATCTGTTATTTGCAGGTGTTAATCTGCTCATTGAACAGGTGTGGAGAGGTTTGGTGCAGCTGCGAGATGCACCGTCTGCTCCCCGTCTGACCTTCTCAGGTGCTTCAATGAATGTGAACCAAGCCTGTGACAGTATGCGGCAACAAGACACGCCCTCGTCTAACCTTGTGTTTAAATACATAAATAAATAAAAAAATTTGTACTGGTTTCTGGTGGACATTTTTTCATGGCTGAACTGGTTTGTTAACTGCTGGTAGTGGCCTCCCAATAGACCTGCCACTGGGCAATGCAGACCACTTCACATGGGCGGAAACCAGCTGATAAGACTTTAATGGGAATTTCCACTTGGGTGGGGAGCTGAACTGTGTCACATTAATAATTCGAAAGTCGCAGTCTGACTGGGGTGGCGTTGGCTGTCGCAATGGAGCATGATGGTGTGGGCTCTGCTAGGGGAGGACCAGATGGTCTGGGCTGTGGATAAGGGGCTGCTGTTTGTTTACCCAGCAGACTCTGGCGGCGGGTGGGAGGAGGGGTTGGACTAACATCATAAGCAGGGAGAAGGTCAACGGCGTAATAACAAGGCCTTTCAGAGGTTTCACTCGTCCTGGTTGTTCTGATGTGCGACTGTGTGAGGGAGCGCCTCAGCAGGCCGGGTCAGGTTGTTTAGGATAGCCGGCCACACCTGCAGCAGATGCTTCACCGCTGTAAGCTCTTTATCAGCAGATCTGCTTGGATGGGCTTTGATGGAGCTTCTTGCTGGGCGATGAGATGCTGGGAGTGTCCTGGCTCTGTGCCGTCCTTCCCGGCAGGGAGGAGGGACCCAATCCAGGCCGGCTGCCATGCCGCTGTACTCGCCGGCGGCTGGTAGCGCCGTGCATTCGGGCCTGCAGGACTGTGGGTTTAAACCCCAAACCCATATGCGTACCCTGCAGTGGGCTGGCAGCCTGGGGCTGGGCTTCACCTCAAAGTGCACATTGAAAACTGCGGGGTTTCCGGAGAGGATCCGGAGCTCCAATCCGTGACGTGAACATGGTGTCCGAGCCGTTCCTGAATAGTGACATGCCATAACATTTGTGGTTCCGAACTCTTAGCTCCATGATGGTTTTTGGGTGACGGGCCTTTCTACTTTGCAAAGAAGCTGAGAAATAATCCCATCATGCTCGGAGTGAAAATAAAGCCCAGCCACTCTTAAAGATCGTATTTTATATCAACCATTTTAAATATGTATTTATTTGATTTATTGGCTCTCTTGGAGCTGTCTCTAGCTTTGGAAACGCGTAACTCGAGGCGCTTAAATCGCTAACCGGTTCCTCACTCCTGCTTCCCATGAGCGCGTCGTCGTCTATTTGGTCTCCTGTCGTTTGCTCTACAGTGACATGCAGAAAACCTCATGTCGGCATTTAGGTGGTGTTGTGATTGTAAACAGCCCCCTGAATAGGGTATGGGGTATGGCCTCCACTCCCCCCCTGGTGTAACATGGGTTTCTCCCGCAGTATTTTACAGTGGGATCTGTTTCTGACCTGACAAACAGTCAACTGGCTTCTTGGAATAGTCACTGGAAATAAATATTGCCGTGATGATTTTGTTACTGCAAGGCCTTGAACACCTGGCTTACAGTCGGCCTGATCGTTCTTTGGCCTTTTAATGAGGCGAGGTGATGTTTCTCTTGTTGCTATGATATTGATGTCCACCCTCACGTGATCTCTTCTGTTCTTCTCTTTTAGCCTCCAGTGTCATGAAACTGAATCCACAGCAAGCTCCCTTATATGTAAGTATGGAGATGTAAGTCATGTATGTGATGCTGCATTTTGGGGAATGGATGATTGTATATGGATCCCGTTGGTGGTAGGTGTGACTGTCATGGCCTCCTGGTTCCTGGTGGTGATGCTGCGAGCGCCCCGCACCCCCGTTCCTGTTAACGATGGCTTTGCCGTAAACCGTGGATCTCTTGCCGGTGCTGGTGGGAGTTCTGGGGGGGGGGGGGGGATAGGGGGTGCTGTACAGTGAGTCCAGCCTCAAGCAGACACCATCAGCTACGTTATTCACTGCTAGGTTGTGTCTGTCTTTCTGGTTAATTCTGCCTGTCAGCACTTACTGGGTTGCAGCAGGGCTGTATTCAAGGAAACTGCTATTTTGTGTGGAAATGTGAGGAGGTTTTGGCTCTTGCCGTCTTGCTAAATACATCTGGGCTGTTGGCAGTTCTAACCAGAACTGTCCATTTTCCCAAGTAGGTATGAAAGGGGTTGGTCTGTGAATGTGCCCTCGCTGGCCACTCTGAGATGGGCTGGCCCACGTCACATGACACTCAGCTGAACCAGCAGGTAGCCAGGCGCACCCAGATTCCAACTTTCGGCGCGAGACGGTGACCCTTCCGGAAAAGGTGTGGCCGCGGGAGGGGCGGCCTGCCCGTCCCGGTTTGGGGAGCGATGGGGCCAAAGGGCTTCGGGGCCCGGTCGCATTTTCCGCATAGGAGACTCGACCCAGCTAGTGTGGCACACTTGAATTTTGCCAAGGAACAAAATTTACCTCCCTTCAGAAAGCCTATAATTAAACTTTCTGACAGCTAGCTGGTAATTATTCTTATTTCTAAGATGTTACATCATGCCTCTCCAGAGAGAAAAAAAACAAATGCTGGTCTGTGGACGATTCGTACTTTAATATTCAGCATAAAATTCTACCTGATAATGGCTGTGTGGTGAGTGGGTATGGGGCCTGTAATTAGGGGCCTGTGCTTTTGGATTATTACGTGCATATCTGCAACTGACCAAAAACAAACAAACCGCACTCTCTGGATATTAACTTTGACGGCGACAGCAGATCTCAGGATACCTCCAGCTCTCTCATCTGGCAGCCGGTTCGCTCTTCTCCGGGGGCAGGCAAGAGAAACTCTACTATCTGAACACCCAAACGCCCTACTGTGTGCCACGTGAATACCCTGCAGTTTGGCCTCCGGCCAGCAGTGGGCGTACTGCGTGTCACAATGACTGCTTGCCTTGTGACGTTAATTTAAATAAGATAAATTCCATGGCAATCTAGGTGCAGGGTTGTTTCTTACAGACCTCCTATATTGTATTGAAGGTGGAATCACCTTACAGATGACCACGAGTGCCTCACTGTCCTCGTTAAATGGTGGTAACATCTGCAGATGTCCCCCTAGACACCCTCAGCTATTCCAGTTTCCCTGAGTACCATCACCAGAAAATCCGATTAAAACTATTCTACTCATCTTGAAGCCAGCAACTACATAAATAAGCTGGAAATTGAAATGTATGCAGTGGCTTGGGGATTGGCATTTAATAGCTAAACTTCAAAAAATTTCCATCTTAATATAATGACATTTCTTATACTTGCAACGTGACGGTTAAAAGGGGAATTGAAACAGTCATTGAACAATTCTAACTTTGTGAACACTTCACTTTTCAAACATACACCCACTTCCTGTGCTGGAAACCTGCCACCTGTATGTGTCACCTCATACATGTGACTCTGAGCCGGTAACCCCCCGTCCCCCCCCTCCCCGGTAGCCCATGGTACTGCCCAAGATGGCCGCTGGGCTTGCTCCCCATGAAAGTGCTGATCTTCACTTTCCGGTGGGCTTACGGCTGGATCCCAGCTTCGCCTTGCAGATTACAGCTGCATGTTTTCACTTTTTTTTTGTGTAGACTCCAGCAAAAGCCATTCTTTCTCTGGCAAAGAGTTTGGCATTTGGACAGTTTTAATAACTGAACAGAGCTGTAAGTCATACAATGCTGCTCCTTTGAGAAAAGAGGAAATGCTCGATCCCCTGATGAGCCTTGACCTGATTCGGCTGCTGATGCATCCAGGAGGCAGGCAGAGGAGGGAACTGCTGTTTGACCTTGGAGTATGTGACGGTCTGCTTCCTCTTCTGAAAAATGTACAGGTAAATGTCCGGCCACTTTCCCATCACGGGGTGACACCGGCCAGCCGGGGGCCCAAGACTGGGGTACCCCGCGGACACCACCTTCTCTTCAGTGTCCCGAAAACATGTCTAACTGGGGAGTTTCGAACGACACCGTAGAATTCACTTTGGAGGACGGCGTGCCGTACTTTGTAGAGTCACTCACCGCTTATAAAATGACGACATTGCTGCTTCTGCCCAGAATTTCCTTACTGGTCCTCAGACAAGTGCTATAAAACTGTAGATAATGCTACTACCATACAGGGTGACCTTGGCTGGTCAAAGGGGTGTCTCTTGGGGTTTACCCCCCTCCCCCCATGTAAATGTACACCAGATATTGTGTATTCTCATTCATTTTCATTAAAATCAGACCTCCCTAGTAAAGGTTTGGCCCCCCTTAAATCTCTAGTGACACTTCTGCCCGGTCGTATTGCTTCCTGTCTCTTGCCCATTTGTCCGCTTGTGTTGGGATCTTTCTTCTGGCCTTGACATCCAAGGATGTGCTGCTTGGTCGGCCCCTTCCTCCCCTCGGGCCCCTCTGAGAGACTCTTGTCAGGCAGCTGCTAGGGGGACTGTTTAATGGCCTCATATGGAGGCCGTGTTGAGAAGTTGAAAAGGTCGAAGAGATTAGGGTGGAGTTGGGGGGGGGGGAGGGGAGAACGGAAGGAAGATACATCCTCTATGACAAAACGTCAGCGGGCTTTGGGGAGAACGGAGGGAGGAGGGGGCAGGAGTAGCCCCCACTTTACAGACTTCTCAACATGAAGAAATATAATCCTAAGCGTGTATGTGGGGTGG